TGAAAACATGTTAATCTGGTTACTGCATCTAAAACGTTGGTATGTTTTGTCGTAATAACAAATTACAAGAATGCCGAAGGTGGGAAACATATAGGCAAGATATCAGGAGAAGCGATTGCATCCCCCGCCCGTTTGATCCGACTCTTGGCTTTTGTGTATCTGCGCGCTATTAACGTATCGTGCCGTAAAGTTTGTCAAAAACGGTACCCTAGCTTTGTAAAATATTCTTGGACCCAATACAGCTCTTCGACTCCCCGGAAGTTTCAAAAAATCCTTATTTGTTCGGCAAAACTTCGAATATTATACGACTTTACATAAAATTTCCAGATAAAGCCTGACTAATTAGAGGTCAGGCGTGCTTTGCATAGCCCAGGCTCAGCCTAGGCGATGCAAATTAAAAAAAAGCCTGATGAAGCCTAGGCAAGCCTAGGCTTTAGCCTAGGCCTCCCTCACTCTAGTCCGAAGGACCCAAGTTATCGGAAAGTCAAATTTCTCATGCAAAGGCCGCATTCCAGCGCCCAAGGCCCGCGAAGCGGGTTTTGGGCGCTGGTCCTACTATATATAAAAAATAGTCTGTGTGTGTGCCACTTTGCATGCAACTTCCTTCAGGCTGTCCGTGGGCTATCTCAAGAAGAGAAGGGTATTAGTCTACGTATCATCCGCCATTAGGTATGTCATGGCCACGAGATGACTACGCGTATATCAGATTTTAGAAAACCAGTAGTTTTCGACACTAAAATTATGTTTTTGTTGTAAATTCGGGAACCCTCTTTGGTAGGAAACAATTTGCATAAACCGGAAGTGGCGGGAGCCTATATAAAGAGCTAGAGAGTGACATTTTTCATTATTCACATCGGAATGGAGAAACCTATGCAAGAATGCAAAGTGAAAAATATTATGGGCTTACAAGGGAAGTGCACGACCGGCCCACGAGAAATCGACACGAAACATAGTGGATCTGATAGAATCGGACACGGGGATTCTGAATCTGTAATCAGAATTTGCTAAATAATAAAATTTGGTCGCGTATCTTTGTGTGTGTGTGTGTGTATGCGGAGGTCAGTTTTGAGGCCAGATTTGAGGGCCTTCCCGTGTCCAAAACGCCCCGATTCTCCGCCACTTGGGGGGAATCGACCTTCCTCTTTCCGATGGCGTTCTCAGAATTTCGATAAAAAAGAAGTTTACAAAGTTAAAGCCGGTTTTATTCATTTTTGGGGGTACTGAGGGCTAATTTGCATAATGTGAAAAAATAGAAGTTTCCTCATTCTTGCCAGTTGCACTCGCGAGTTTGGTCGGGGACAGGGGGGTCGTCGGACCCGAGCTATCGGAAAGTCAAATTTCTCATGCAAAGGCCGCATTCCAGCGCCCAAGGCCCGCGAAGCGGGTTTTGGGCGCTGGTTTGCTAAATAAAACGGAGAAAAAAGTTATCAGCTTCAAAGTTGGCCAAATCGCCAAAAACGGTACCTTTAACGGGCCCGTAAGAACCGGGGGAACGGAATTGAGGAGAAAAGAATTAGTGCATCTTGTTCGGCAGAAAAAGCTGTAAGAGTCTAGAAACCCCCCCCCCCCAGCCGGCACCAACTTTTGTATCTCGGCCCCCTTTTGTGCTAGCGAGCTCTAAAGTATACCAAAATGTTCGCCGTAGGCTAATTAGTAAGACTACATGGCAGTTCAGTCGAAAAAGTAGCGAAAAGTAAAAATAAGGAAGGTAGAAAAGTTGAAAAGTCGGCTGGGGGGGGGGGGTTTCCTAGACTTGAGCCGAAAAAGCGCTTTTGAATGAGCTGTAATACGTAGGATTTGCAAACAATTCACCGAAAAAAAGTTTTTTTTTGGATTCACGGGCAAGGGTATTGCCTGTCAAGTTCATAGAAGAGATTTCCGCGAAATCATCGTAAACTTGAAGTAAGATAGCTCATTCGAAAGCGCTTTTTCTGCTGAACAAGATGCACTAATGGGTCGGCAAATTTCCATTCCCTGGGCCTTTACAGGCCCATAAAAAGTCAGATTTTGGGCGATTTGGCCAACTTTGAAGCTTCATAACTTTTTTCTCCGTTTTATTCAGCAAATTCTGATTACAGATTCGGAATCCCCTGTGCGATTCTATCAGATCCACTATGTCTCGTGTCGATTTCTCGTGGGCCGGTCGTGCACTTCACTTGTTAGACTGGGGCCAGGATTGAATGGTCGCGAAGCGGCTTTTTAACCCTGGTTTATTAATATATGGTAGGATTTTCTTGTTATGCAAAGTTTTGCTAGAAAAGGCACATTTTCTTGGGCGATATTGCAATTAAAATGCTACTAAATGTTACTAACCAGTATGTTACCTACTCCCTACTACTTCTAAATGTTACTAACCAGTGCTCGTTGGGTGGGACAGAAATTCGTACATGGCGCCCAGTTTATCGAAAAGCTTTTCAGCCAGTCGATCGGCATGAAGGAAGAAACGACGGGGGCGCGGCATCAGAATGTCGCCGGACGGATGCTTCACCCTAAAAGCCGGTCTTAAAGAACTTCACGCGCATAGCTGTTAGTTCATTGTTAACATTTTCCCTTTGTGATCACAAGGTGCGGGTTCGGAACCTCGATCGATTGTTCTTTTTGCTTTTTTTTAGAATTCTTTTACAAAAAGTCAGATAGTTTTGAAGTTGTATTTTTGCATGTCATTTCCACTTTTCAAGCTCCAACAAAACAGCGAAAGCAAAAAGCTGGAAAGAAATTTTTGGTTGGTCAAAATTAAATTTTCCAAAAAATGTTTTTCATTAACGGACACTTTATACGCTGTTACGTTCAAAAAGCGTTTGGCTGTGGTTCAGTTGTCCTACTGTATCTTAACAACCCGTTGTTGTAGGGGCCTGGCTAACCCCACATTTTGGTATACTTGACACACCTGTAGATGAACAGGGAGTCGCGATACAAAAGTTGGGTGCCGGCTGGCGGGTGGGGGGATAAGCTGAACCCTAACCAAGAGTTTTTTTGATAACCTAGAAAGCAAAATCTTGAATTCGGGCGTCTTTTCGGACCAAATAATGGGATTTCCAGGTATAAAATACCGAAGGGAATGAAGGAAAAAGGGCATAAACTCATTACAGATTCGGAATCAGCGCACAAAACTGGGAGATAACCATCTTTCATTACAAATGCCAACTTCCCCTTCGCAACGGTCTTCTCGCTAACAGCTTGAACCTCATCTCAAAATAGCGTGATGTAAAATAGTTTCAGCTGCTCCATTAGGTGTGTAGTCGAAAGCTTGTTTGCGACACTTTCGATGTTTTTACAAAATTTCTTCAACCATTGGATGGAGAGTCAAAAATATGCCCAGGATTTTGATTACATACGCAAATTCCCCTCCCACCGCACCGGTTTTGGCTCAAGTCTAGGAAACCCCCCCCGAGACGACTTTTCAACTTTTCTACCCTCCTTATTTTTATATTTCGCCACTTTTTTCGACTGAACTGCAATGTAGTCTGACTAATTAGCCTACGGCGAACAATTTGGTAGCTAGCACAAAGGGAGGCCGAGATACAAAAGTTGGCGCCGGCCGGGGGGGGGGGCTCAAAATAGAACGGTATCAAAATACAGAATCAAACCGATGTCGTCAAAGGCGAGGAAGAAGGGAGACGTTGTCTCAAACGCCACAAAATGAACCACGAAAGCTCGTCGAGGCGCAGGCGGATGTGTGAAATTTGTTTAGGGAATGTTTTTATTTATTTATTCTTATTTAATTTCTCGAATCCTACTACAGGGTGTCCGGTGCTAATGCAGTTAGGGGGGGGCAGTCCAAAATTGGTAGTAAGGGGCTACAGGCGATCCGCTTATAGGTACACTAAAATCTCGTTCAAAAAACCGCGTGAATTTCTCCCTTCGCCGCCGCTTGGCCGGACCCTTCATAGCCCTTCGCCCCCTCCCATTTCCCGTCTCTCCCATGGCCTAGTGGTCCAAAGCGCTTGCCGTGGGCGAGTGGCCCGGGTTCGGTTTTGCTCCGCGGCGAGCGCCTAGCGTAACCCTGTTTGCTATTTCGCGGACGGTTACCGGCCGGTAACCAAACCAACGAGACTTTAGTGTACCTTTAAGTTAGTTCGTTATCAGCTTAAGCCCAGCTTAACTTAGCTGTAAAGGGATACCCAATGTTTCGCCGGCAAATATATAGTTATGTATTCCGGGCAGTGCAAATGACGCGCGAATTTTGTGCGGCAATGGGCCCCTAAGCCGCACAGAATTCGGACCCCTTTCCCTCTTGTGGCGTTCCCATCCCGCCCAATGGCTTGCCACTATGGCCTAATGGATAGCAGCACCTCGGCCTACAAAACGTGGGCCCGGATCCGACCCCCGCCCGCGGCATGGTTTTTACTTTTTGAGCCCCGAAAAGGTTGGGCATCTCTTTAACTATGCTTAGCTTAGGCTTAGACTTAAGCTTGAGCCGAAGCTAGGCTTATCTTGGGCTTCAAAATGCCTCACGAGTCAAAATGGGGTCATTTAGGGGTTAGCCTAGAGCTAAGCTTAGCTTGGCTCAAGCCAAGCTCCTCCGGCTTTTTTGTATGAAGCCAAGCCTAGGCTTAGAATTAGCGTAGCTTTTCCAGACGCTTCGAATTTAAAAAACGGCATGGGTGCATGATGATGCCCTTCTGAGCGGCATCTGACCCGTGGCTCCTTCTAACCGAATAATATTGGTTCGCGCTATAATTATGGTATGCTTTAGCCATTACAGCCATGTGAAGAGGCGATGGCGTACTGTGGGGTGTACAGAGTCATGGAACCTAGCCAAAAATCAATATTAAATAGACGCCGCGAAAATACGGCAGCTAAGGTCCTTCTCTCTCTCTCTCTCTCTCTCTCTCTCTCTCTTTCTCTCTATCTCTCCCCCTTTTTTTCTTTCGGATTCCAGCTGCTCCACAAAATAATAAAACCCTTTATTTCTTTTCAACCCGCAACACATAAATATAAACCGGAAATTGCTGTTCAGCACACCAAATTAAATGATAGGCGATTAATCGTTTGATTCATGGCCGTGCAGAGAGAAGGAGGCGCAGAGAAGAGGTGGGGGCGCACGCATCGAAGGAGCATGTAGAGGCCGAACGCTTCATCGTATCTGGAAAATGAAAAATTAGAAAACTTTTTTTTAAAGCCTAACTTTTACTCAGGTTCGGCCCAGGTCTAAACCCACCAGATCCGTCCCGTGACCATCAAGTTAGAGCAGCTAAGATGCAGATCAAAAGGGCTGACTCCCATCCGACAGCTTGTAGACAATTTCATCTTGTTCGATGCCCTGCACCATCCGGAAGCCGTTGAAAATGTCGGGGCGAAGCATCTCGACGAGAAGGCGTGGCCAGAAAATGACCTAAAAGATGCAATCGATGGTGAAAGTCAAGGCTCTGTTTTTTACTACCCCCAACCGAAAAACCGATAAATACATCGATTCTTTTGGGCTCCTTTCGAAATGGCAGAATTTCATTATGTTGAAATTGCACAATTTCGAAATTCATAATGACGAAATTTGCGTAAGCTAGTTTTCCCGGACATTTTTCGGACATTTTGATTTATGATTTATTTATGCCTTATTTTATGATAGCGAGTCGGCTTGTTCTCGTACCCGAATTCGTTGGTCGTGCGTCAGCGTCATGGGGAGGGAGTACTCGACGAAATTCCAAATCGGCCCGAGATCTGTCACCGGGCCTGTCCAGTCGATGCACAGCTCCGAGCCATTGAACGGGAGCAGCCACTGAAGATGCTCAGCGGTCGCTGGCCCGATTTCAACCTGTAAATGATGTTTTTGCAAAACATACTTTGACCAACGACAAGGAGGTTTACCGCTGTTCTGCCGCCAGCGATACGAAAAATCGATTTTTTTTTTCGGGCGCTACCGGCCTAGTAATCAAATATTAGGTGTTTTTACATTGTTTTAGTACGTTTTAATTATATTCAAGGTCAAAAAATTTCAAACTAACAAGGATACCTCCCCAGCTCGAAGTGCAGCTTCGATTAGCTAAATCGTCTACCAGATGCAGTGTTTCACGCTGATAACGATACCGCTATTTATTTTTGCCCAAATCCATAGGAACACTATTAAAAATCACATTAAAGTTTTGCTATCGTTTGCCGCCCAGCCTCAAAGCCCTTCCCCAGGGCTAGGGATCCGTCGGTGGCGTGGTGTAGTCGGCAAGTACTTGGTATACCAATCTAATGGTCAGTGGTTCGAGTCTTGCCGCTGACGGCTTTTTTGCTTTTTGGATAAAAATTGCTGTGAAGGCCATAGGAACGCCTAGTAACAATTTTTCTAGTGTTTTTGGCTCTTTGGTCATTAATTTGGCAACAGAAAGCATTTTGGCAACAACACAGCACCATCCTGACAATGATTATGAGTAATCCATTAAAAACTCACCTTCTCACTCCGGAGCAGAAAAACGCTAGACATCAAAATCGATAGTAAACAAAGCCTAATAATTCCTTTTCGGAAATTCAAAACCGTTTTGAGCAAGCACTAGAGGCTGCTGATCCCTTGTTGACCCCATTGATAATTCAAACTTTCTTTGACCAAAAAAATGAAACCGAACATAAAATTGTAATCATACCGACCAAACGATGCAAAACGGATGAAAATTTTTTACAGGGCGTTCATATGGCCTTCCCAGCACTTTTTATTCAAAAAGCAAAAAAGTCGCTAGCGGCAAGACACGAACCCTTGACCACTAGATTGGCACACCAAGTACTTGCCGACTACACCACGCCACCGATGGATGCCTCCCCCTTGGAAAGAGGCTTTGAAGCGCGTGGGGCAGATCACCGCCAGCCAGGCAAAAAATGCATAATGTTCAAAATGATTTTTCATAGCGTTCCTATGGATTTGGGCAAAAATAAATATCGGGATCGTGATCAGCGCGAAAAACTGCATCTGATAGGCTATATAGCTAGTCGAAGTCGAACTTCGAGCTGGGGAGGTATCCTTGTAAGAGAGAAATGCTTGAAAAATTCAAAAATTTCGTCAATTTGTGGCGAAAAATCAATTTTTGAGCCTGAAGCTACGAAACTAGAAACTTACGAAAGTTGAATGCATATGCCCAAAAACAAGTTTTTTTATAGATGGTAGGATACCGTAGCTGAAATCCATCCGCGCATCCGCCGATCGGTGGCCCCGGCGTTGTGGAGCAGGTCGATCCAGCACGGTTTCGCCTGGTCGGTGGGCGGCCCACAGAGGTGGAGATTGCGGCGGCATGCGGAGGTCATCAGATACATTAGGCCCGGCCAGATCGGATCCTGCGTCTATAATCATCAGCTTATAGGGCGCACGAAGTTCAGAAACTGGGTTTCATGCACAGCCAAACAAAGTTTCGCCTGGTGGTAAGATTCTACAGTCTACAGATTTTACAAAAATCGCAAATTAATGCTACCCCTATCCTGGCAGCCCAACGAAAGCCTTTCCTAAAGGGCACGTTCAGGGACGTTTTTTTTGGCAAGAAAGCAAAGCTTTTTGCCGCGGCCGGGGATCGAAACCGGGCCTCCCGAGCGGGGGGCCTGGCGCCTTGAACGTGCCCTTTCAACCCTTTTGCGAAAACATAGCATGGAAGGCGCTTAAACTGGTGAAATTAGGTTTTTGACAAAAAAATCTTTTCGGATGGGAATTTCCAAAAGCGAAGTGACATGATGGAGTCGCCTTTCCAAGAGATTTCGATAATTACATAAATCGTAAAAATTGGACACCCATGAGGCCGGCTAGCGGAGGGGTTGATCTTTTGGGGCATGCTCTAGAATACTATCGCCTCCTAGCAAAACTTCTTTGGCTGTGCATGCAACCCACCACAATCGGCAGCAGCTTGCAGTGATTGCAATTTGGCAGGTGGATGCTGTCGGGGAAGGAGGTGATCGTCGCGTCAAACACTAGCACGAACACGTCCCTGGCGTTGTTGATCAGCCAGGCCGTCATGTCATCCTCGTACAGGCGGCCGCCGACTCGGATAACGGTCTTCTTGGAGCCGTCTGGTTGGCGACTCCCCGGACGGTAACCCGTTCAAGCCTACAAGGTGGGGAGAATTATCATGACTCCTTGTGCAGCTAGTTCATTTTTTTGCGTTGAAGCTTTTGGTATAGCTGGTACGGGACTGTTAACGGGGGGGGGCTTACAACGGACGTGCATATCCTTAAGTTGGCTGATCTACATGGGACCAAGCCGACTTGTGGTAATCGACCACGCTGAAAAACGTGCAGCCCTCAGAAAAACCGGAGGTGCTCCCATTTTCCGGATATTCCGCGTCAAAGTTTTGTACGGAAAACAAGGGGAATACCCGGAAACAAAAAAAACTGTGGGATTTAGCCGGTTCCAGCTGGAGGATGTGTTTCCACATTCCTGCCAAGTGACCCAACCTGGGAAATAATTTGATTTTAGGAAATAAATTTTTGTGAAGGCCAATAAGATAATTTTATAAAAATGCCACTTTTATCAATTCTAAATAAAAATACAGTACCTATTATTAATAGGTGGCCGAAAGAAATATACCTTTGTACCCCCTCACTGTTAACCGTCCCGCCGCTTCTAACTTTAGTTTTAAATAAAATTTACAAGCAATCGACTAAAAATATGTACACTAACTGACCCGTATTCACCGACGAGGCGCCCAGTGTAGATGAAGCGCGGCAGCGCCTTCGCGGCCTCGAAGTAGTCCTCGCCGGCAAGATCGTCCGCGACGATGCACAGGATTTCGAGTGGCAAATCTTGAAGGCGGCGGCCGATGGGCATCTTGTCCATGTAGGTATGATCCCGTCGAGCCACCCTCGAATTGTTGAGCAAAGCATGCGCGTAGCGATCAGGGACGAATTGGTAGTCAATCACGTATCCTTCGGCCACCGTATCGACAACCTGCCAGCTTTTCGGGGCCTGTTCGACGCGATACTTCAATTCGCCATCGATGCCAGCGAGGTGGAGGACGGTTTCCGCATCCAATGGCTGTAGGATGACGTGGAAGAGTTCGGAGGGCAACGTGTGAAGAACTGGAAAGGAAGATGAGGTGCTGATTACGGGGAAGATGAGGTGCTGATTACGGGGAAGATGAGGTGCTGATTACGGGGGCGCAAAGCGGGTGTGACTCTTTTCGTAGCACCCAGTTTTTCAGACATAAATAGTGGAATCGATTCTAAAGCGTTTTTTTTTCACTATTTCCGAACGTGAAAACTTCATAAATATTCCATAAAAATATCAAAAACATAGATTTTTCGACCAAAATTGGCCGATTATTAAGCAAAACTTGGATCTTTCCATATCAGACGTTTTTTAAGGTATTTCGATGGTTTTTTTTTGGTTGAGATATAATTATGTTTTACTAACATTATTCAGCACTACCTATCAAGTTATTAGACTTTTCTAGATGGATCCAAAATGTTCGGTTCTGGGCTGTCAGCGGGGGCGGGTGGGGACGGGTGGGGGATTTTTTACGTGTGGAGGGAAAACACCTGTGGTTCTCTACGGCCCTAACAAAACATAAATCATTTTTACAGCATTTTACATAGTTTTTAGATGGACAAGCAATTGATAAAATTCAGCATAATTTTCGAACAATGTTGACTTTTTGCTCCAAAACGTATGAAAAATGACCAAAAAGGCCAGATTTGGAATTTTTAGAATTTTTAAAATATTTTTTTAGCGTTCTACCAATCCAAAGCCGCCAAAAACATTATAAAAATACATCAACAGGTAGGAATAGTCTTAAAAACAGGTACTGTTCTATTTGGACGGGGCAAAAATCTACGCCGTAGGCAAAACCGCAGAGGGCGGTTTTGGTATTTTGGCTGATCTGCAGGGTTTTCTTGATGCAAGATCAAAATAATGTCAGGCAGACGAGTTTTAGCAAAATCAAAAATACCTATGAAAATGGGGTTAAAACTCTAGTTTTCGATAATTTTACCATTTTTTTGATTTTCTGAAAACGCCATTCGATAGAGCTTCAAAAATATACAAAGTTTTAATTTTAGCCCCCGGCCAAATAGAACAGTATCGAAAGACGTTTCCCCCCTGCCAAAAATCCCCCCCGCCCGCTAGCAGTCCAGAACCAAAAATTCGGCTCCCCGGCCTCCCGATAATGCAAAATAACCGTAAATCCCTACGAGGGGTAAAACGAATTAATGTCCCAAAAACCACACCTCCAACCGAGGCCAAGAGTTCAGCAAGAAATACCTTTCTCGGGGCAAGCCGTGGCCGTGGAGCATGTGGACGCGCTCGAAATGGACGACTGTGAGGCCGAATTGGCTGGAAAAAATAATATTCCACGGATATTGCATGAAATCTCAGTACGAACGTGCTTGAATGGACAAATAGATAAAGCAGGTCACATAGAAATTGCCATGGGTCGAAATTGGGCAGCCGTATCGAGACCAAATAATGTTACTGACCGATGGTCCTTGGCCTGTCGACCTCGTCACAGATGATGGCCGGCTCATCGAAAAGAGCTGCAACCAGTTCATCGACGTGAAAGAAGAAATCGTCGTTGGACGAAGCGGGCCTCGCCATCAGAAAGCCGGTGGACGGAGGTTTGTCCTGAAAGGCATGGTTATGCCTAAAAAAACTCCACATGTGCATGAAGCCGCTCGTTTTGCTAATTTGCACTGAAAAAATACGGGTTCTCCACATTTTTGATAAAATTTCGACTTTTTCAACCATTTGACAGTTTTGCCGGTATACATAGGATAACGGGGGGGGGGGGAAATAACGGGGGGCACTCAAACTTTTTTTATTTTATGATAAAAGTATTTTTAAATATGCTTTTTTCGGGCTGTAAAAAAAGCTCTTAGTATATTTTTCGGCCCTCTATCGAATGGCAGTTTCAAAATATCGAAAATATTCAAAACGCCGAAAATTTTCCGCCCCCGTTATTCTATGTGCTGCCCATAGTTTTCAAAAATAGTTTTTAGGCTATAAAACTTTTATAATACATTTTTTCGCGTTGTAAAAAAATCTCTTAGTATAATTTTAGATGTTCTATCGATTCGCGTTTTCAAAATATCGAAAATCTCAAAAATTTGACTTTCCCCCCGTTATCCTATGTGCTGCCTATAAATTTTCCTCAATTTTTGTTTAACCAATAAAAAATTTCCATTACATTATTTCGGGTTGAAATGAATTCTCTTAGTATATTTTTCGATGCTCTATCGAGTGGCACTCGCAAAATCCCACAGTAATTGCAAATTTCATGATAATGAGTGCCACCCCCCCGTTATCCTATGTGTTCCGTTTTTCCAGGTTAAATACAGTTATATAGCTAAAAGACTATTAAAACACTGCTTGTTAACTCACTAGGCATTTATAAACTTGTGCAAAAAAGGTCAGAAAGCTGGTAAAATAAAAAGTTGGAGCAAAACGAAAAATAACGGGCTAAACTCCAGATAACCCCCCCAGCCAGCTCGGCCTCCATATGTCCTATTAATTCGCCGAGTATCTCATCGCCGTGGTCTAAAACCTAACGGAAAGTGGTTTGGTTCCGCCAAAAATCGCTAGAACATTTTTTATAGATTTTTTCGCCAAACTTTATACAAGCCCAAGCTTAAACCTTTCAACGTCGATTTTCATCTTTTTTCGCAATTTTTTCGACCCAAATCAAATGTTTTCGCATTCTCAAGGTCAAGAGCTACATTTTGGTACAATTGCCAGCCGTGTATGACAAACTAGAGCCGAGATACCAAATTCGAATTTTGGCCGGCTAAATTCACAGGCGACCCAGACTTATACTTCTTATTAAAAAAATTCTAGCGATTTTTTAGGGAACCAAACAACTTTCCGTTAGGTTTTATTACATTTTGAGATACTCGGCGCACTAATAGGACATATGGGGGCCGAGCTGGCTGGGCGGGGGGGGGCTATCTGGAGTCTTACCAAATAACGTTTGAAACAGGGCCTGTGTTCCAGTGTTCGATATCCATCTATTGTTTTTCTTGAAAGTCTTTGGATCGAGCGCCAAAAAGAAATGATGATACAAATCATAAGTAAATCCCGCTCGCCCCGCACATTTTTCCCCCCGCTCAAAATAGGGTTAGAGTCCAGCATAGGTTTCTCCATTCCGATGTGAATAATGAAAAATGTCACTCTCTAGCGCTTTATATAGGCTCGCGCCACTTCCGGTTTATGCAAATTGTTTCCTACCAAAGAGGGTTCCCGAATTTACAACAAAAACATGATTTTAATGTCGAAAACTACTGATTTTGTAAAATCTGATATACGCGTAGTCATCTGGTCATCACACAGACACTATTTTGTTATATATAGTAGGATAGTATCTGTGTGTGTCCATTTGTATGCAACTTCCGTCACTGTGTCCGGAGAATATCTCAAGAGGCGAAGGGGTTTAAGCTACGCATGATGCGTCGTTAGGTATCCGGTGGCGTAATAACCCCGAGATGACTGCACGCATATCAGAATTTCAACCCTGGTGCTATATGATTTAAGAAAACGAAACCCGCTGGTTTTCTCCCGTTTTGAAAAGCTTTTGGATGGCGTAGAAACCATCCGGATCCAAGTTTTCTCCCTACGGCTAGAGGGGTGCTTTATTTTTGGGACACCCTGTACTTTACACACTTGTAAATCAACAGGGAGCCGAGATACGGTAGGTGGGTGCCGGCTGGGGGGTGAACTGCACTTAAGCCCAAAATAGAACAGTACCAAAATACCGAATCAATGCGATGTCGTCAAAAGCGAAGATGACAGAGGACGTTGTCTCACACGCCACGAAACGACAACCGCAAAAACTCATCAATCTGCAGGCGGATGCGTCAAATTCCCTTACTTGAATGCAAATCTAGGATGCCTAATCATTTTCAAAATTGATTTTGCATTTTTGTCTGCGTCTTATCTAGGCGTAGGTTTCGAATAATGGTAAAACGGAGTTGCGCACCGCCGGGAGTCGAATCCGCCTGACTTTTTTCGTGGAGGAGTCGAACTCTTTTCCCCACAGATGCTCTTCCATACAAGGCCGTGGATCACGGAAAGGGTGGGCAGTTTCAGTCCATGGGACTCTGCCGTTCACGGCAGTTCCCCCTCTCTCTCCTCTCTCTCTCTCTCTCTCTCTCTCTCTCTCTCCTGCTCACTCTCGCGAACACCCCATCACTCGCTCTCACTACCTCTACTCTCTTTCACTACTCCACTATATCTCTCTCACTACCTGTTACTCTCTCTCACTCTACCACACTCTCTCACTATCTCTCACTCTTTCACTATCTCTCTCACACTCTCTCGCACTCTTTCTCACTCGCTCACGCTCTTTAGCTCTGTTCTCTATCTTTTCGACGGATTTGAAGAATTTATTGGACCGGGGACCCTTCCGTCTCCATTTAATTTTTGCCTCCATGCGATCTTTCGGTACAACTCGGTTTTTGCAATGTATTTGAGCAAACTGTAACTGTACTGTATCTTTCTTTCATCGTATGCATGCACGTACACGATATTTATACATGTCTTTATCATCACGAATAACTGGGGAACAGCGCCATCAATTCTTTCAAACAATCGAAAAGTTGTAGCAAAAATATATTCATGGAGTACACATCTGCATAAGTAGAACGAGTGAAAACGACTATAATTTAATTGTGCTTCCTTGCATCGCGCGATTTGTACAAAATACCCGCTGCCGCCGGCGTATTGAAGATGGCTTCGAATTGTCGCAAGACCATGACGTAGCCTGAAACTGTTTTTTCATCTTCGTTTGAGCCAGGGGGATGTGCTGCCTAATCTAACAAGGAAATTATGTTGAGTGATATCGGCGTTTCAGATTGGGATCAAGCCTATCTTGCGCAGGATTTTTCGTTGATAGCGATGCTCGTTTCAATTCTCGCTATAACAACAATCTTGATTTATAGTTCCGGGCTCCAGTAGTTTACCGACTTAAAGAACTGGCACTCGGAAGTCAAAATTCACGCGTGCGGGGCTTGAAATTGGTCACTGGTCAAAGATGAAACCGCTTTGCTATATTGATTTGGTTGCGAAAGAACGTAAAATCGTAATGCCCTGTAAGACACCCAATCTCGGTGAGCTTTAGCTTTGCAGCGAAGAAGCAGGGAGTTTCGGTAGTTGTGAGAACGGGGGTCGGTCTTCTGCGGAAGGCAAGGAAGACGAACTGATTTGCAATGACCAGGAATATAATAAGGAGGAAGAGAGATACAGTGAGAGAGAGAGAGAGAGAGAGCGAGAGAGATTTCGGGAGAGAGTGAGAGAGAGTGAGAGAGAGAGCGCGAGAGATATCAAGAGAGAGTGAGAGAGAGAGAGAGAGCGAGAGAGATATCAAGAGAGAGTGAGAGAGAGAGAGCGAGCGATATATGCTAATTTTTAAGTTCAATCTGGTTTGATGCTAAATGGCATCGACCTTCCGACGCCCTTTGATTCGGGTTCAAGGCCCAAGTAACTCACTTTTGCTCGTAGCGTTTTCTGACCCCGGCCGGGAAAAGTTCGCAGACCTTGACAAGGAGGTCGATCAAGCCGACGCTATTCAGGACCACCAGCATCATGCTAAAATCAGATCTGTGTGCAACAAACCCCCCGGTTTTTACCGTGTCAGAAATCTAGCAAATAAAGGGTGTCCCAATAAAAATCACCCCCTTTAACTCGACGCGGAACTATCGAATCGTAATGATAGTTGCACCATTCGAAAGCCTTTCAAACGGCGAGTTTGAAGCAGAAGCAATCTTCAAAACCAGGTTTTTATTAAAGCGCGGTAATTTAGAGCGCATTTAAAACGTTAAGGAACTGCTAGTTCTGGGAATTTTGCTTGGAAATGCGCGGGAAATGCGGGAAATTAGCTCGGATGCGGCCCCAAAAAACCAAAGAACCATACAAGATGGGTTTTAAAATAGCGCATCCAAAAGGAAAATGGTTAGGAAAATTTATGCCCACTCGCCGTAGGCTTTCGAATGGTGTAACTATTGTTCCGATCCGATGATTTTGCGTCGAGTTGGAGCGGGGGTATTTTATTATTAGGAAACCTTATATTCCGGTGAGATTTTTTGCGTTATTTGTTTTACTAATCGTGATCTTTATGTTGAAAAATGTTCTTAACGGCTAGCGAAATGTCTAGCTAATTGGGATCCCCTCCTAACAGATACACTTATAGACCTTAAGACCTTCATTAAAAATCCGCAGAAGTTCCTGAACACCGGCGCGTGTCGGAGCACGCATTTGAAGATGGGTCGTTGGCGGCAGCGCCAAGAATTTTTATCTGGAATTATGTTTTATAAAAATTACCGAAAGCCTGGTCCAATTTGCAGGCTCTACAAAAAAAATACGTCGGAATTTGGGCATTTAATTTAAAAATATTTGTCAAAATCGTAATTTCTAGTTAAATTTTGATTTTGCTTAGAAATTGCGACATTAGAATTGGCTGGTTGAGCGCTTCGCGGGCTATAATATATGAATTTACAACTCAAATTTTCCTTTGTGTTATTCTTGCCCTAAAACAAGACATAAGCTATTTTTTTGCTATAGCACTTTACTTAGTTTTTTTAGATATAATACCAATATAAAAACTACAAAAATCTCGAAACTTTTGTTTTTTGGAGAAAAATTTATAAAAAAATGATCATAAGTATCAAAATTTTCGAGTTTTAAAATTTAAAGATTGTTTTTTTTTAACTTTCAAGCAACCAAAAACCAGGAAAAACAATATGAAAATGCATTATATCACCAACAGTATAGGCGCGACAACTGAACGTGCTTCCCCCCTGCTAAACCCCCGTTAACAGTCCAGAACCGGAAGTTGGTCAAATAACTTACCATTTGGTTCCAGACCGCCTCAGAGCCAAGCAGGAGCACCAGAAGGGGCAAATGCACAAGCGCAACGGTCAGGTGGAGTGCTTTCAGCCTTATGGTACGCGGGGCGAGTCTAAAGTTTTTTTTTTTTGGGACTTGCTACCTTTCGCAGGGGACTGTCACCGAAATCGGTTTATCACCCAAAAATTTATCACGGAAAAGCATTGCTTATCGGTTGCAAGTATCGCGGGCATGTAATGCTTGCCAGATTTTGGCTTGGTTTAGGATAGAATTACTTAAATTATTGTCATTACCAGATGGTAACCCCGCTCCCCCGCTAATGGCTACAGGCAGGGGCGTAGCCAGAAAAAAATTTCGGGGGGGGCCCCGAAAATTTTTTCCGAAAAAACTCAAAAATTAACGAAAAACAGCGCCGCAGGCGAAAAATTTTGGAAAAAAGGCAACATAGCTCTATAAATAGCAGTAAAAACGTGAAAAAATAGCGCCGCAGGCAGCAAAATTTTTGAGAAAATAAAAATCATAAGGGTCCCCCCTTATGAAATTTTTGGGCCCCGGCCGATTTCGGGGGGGGCACCGGGCCCAGGGGGCCCACCTTACGCTACGTCCCTGGCTACAGGTGCCTCCCATAGCCGAAATCCGCTTACAAAACTACTTAAACACTTTCTGATGGTTTTAGATACCGCCCCTAGGCGAAATCCCCTTACAAAAAGAAAATAACGGCCGAGCGGAGAAGTGGGAGAAAAAAAGAAATGAATGGCTCCCGTGAAAATTTTCCTCAACGAAACGCGCGCCACCTGGCTCACTAGGTCCAAAATCACCCCCAACCTCCGCACACACTCCTTTTACCAACGGAAAAACTTTCAAAGTTAAATTTAATAATTTATACTAAAACTTCTTCATATTTTTTATCGTGTTGGGGGTTTCTGACCGCGCTCTATCTGAATCCGAAGAGACCTAAGCTCTAGCTCCTTTCCCCTTCGAGTTGAATTCGGCTTCAGACACACACACTGACGCCTCAAGAAAATTATTATAGTTGATAGTTGATGTTTTAATTGACTATTAAATTTCGTATTTAAAAAGTCGAGCCGGGTGGTATTCAGGTGAAATTACCTGCAGGAATGACGGCCTTCATATCGCTTCCAGTCGTAGAGATTCTAGGCGACGCGGCGGTTGAGCATCGCTTGTTTACGGCATTTTCGTCGTGGGTTTCGCGGTATATCAATTTTCCTAGAAGCCAATTTTTCACATATGAATAGTGGTGGTGTTTCTAAACGGTTTTTTACTGTTCCTATACGTGAAAACTTTGCAATCCTACTATATATAAAAAAATAGTGTTTGTGTGTGTGTGCCACTTTGCATGCAACTTCCGTCACCATGTCCGGAGGATATCTCAAGAGGGGAGGGGTTTTAAGGTACGTATGATACGTCATTAGGTGCGTAATGGCTCTGGGATGACTGCACGCTTACCAGATTTTACAAAATCCGATCTTTTAGATATTAAATTTCAGTTTTTGTAAAAATTGGATCATCCTCTTGGTTAGGAAAAAATTAGCATTGACCGGAAGTGACACTAGCCTATATAATGGGGCAGAGCAAGCGTTTTTCATTTTTTTTCTGATAGGAATCCTGGAAAAACATGCAAAGTCGAGCATATTGTCGGGTTTGGACGGGGCCAGGGTAGAAAAGTCGCGAAGCGGCTTTTCAATCCTGGTTTTGTATTAAAAAAAACACCAAAAAGATCGGTTTTCGACGAAAATGGCCGATTGGTTAAAGTTGTTAGTTAAAAGTTGTCAGGTTTAATTATAGCTATATGTTACTTAAAACACTTTATATTAAGTTACTAGGCTTTTCGGGACTTATACAAAAAACTTTGCGTCACCTACTTGTCGTTTTGATTATCCAATAATATGATTTGAGATGGTAGGTAGAATAGGATGGTTGCGCTTGTCGTGTAGCCCATGATGCACCATCGGTAGATCGCCTTGGTGGGTGCGGCCTGCTTCCTGCTCACTCAATCAGCCTAAATCACGGTAGATTATTGTTTGGCCATCAATCCTGCGACCCCGCTGTTCCGTCGGTTCCGTTCTATTTCGAGCGGGGGAAAACTCTGCGGGGGAGTTGCGGTAAGCGACTTCTTTTTGCTATAGCGATTTTGTAATACGTTATTTTGAGTTGTAATTAAAATTGTTCATATATTTTACGATGCTCTTTCGAATGACGTTCAAGAAATTTTGTAAAACTATCGAACAAAACTGGTTTTCTCGCCTAATGTTCCAACGTGGAAACCGCTTTTAAATGTTGTTTTTGCTATAACTATTTTGTTGTACTTAGTTTTGAGATGAAGTAAAAACGCTTAAGATGGTTATTAATCCTCTATCGAATGGTGTTTTCAAAATATGGCAAATAGCGAAAATATCGAAAACTGGCTTGCGTTTTTGTGTTATTTTTGTGTTTGCGCTAGCTTTTTTTATATTAAAATATTTTGAGCTAAAACAAACAGTTGAATTCCATTGCAAAAACCCCGAGAAAATAGCGAAAATATCGAAGTTCTGCCCAAGCAAATCCCCCCCGCGCAGTTTTGCCACCCGCTCGACTTACTAGGGAAGTGCAAATAAAAAATCCAGCAAACCGCTTAGCAAAAATATGGGTCTGATAGAGTCGGCGACGGGGATTCCGAAACTGCAATCAGAATTTGCAAAACGCTTAATACAAAAAAGTTATGGGCATTTTAAGTTTTGCAGCACTGGTTTCGTCCTCCCTTATGAGCCCCTCCCAAAGAGTGGTGTCCACCTGTCGAGTCGTGTAGTGGCTAACCAGCCTGCGTTTGAGGCGGAGGGTCTCTGGTTCGACTCCCGGGTCATGCAAATCTTTTTGCTTTTTGGTCAAAGTCAAGAACTTTAGACTTTTTCAAAGTTTCGAAGTCCGAAATTTAGATTTTTGAACATTTTCTTTATTATTGACTGCGTTTAGGCTTACCTTACGAAAAAAACAGAGGTGAATTTTTTTAGTTTTTTAGTGCCCTACCCGCAAAAGTACTTGTACCCCCGCCACCACTTTGTAATCGGTTTCATGAATTTAAAAATTAAGAGAACGGCCTTTTCGACTTTGAAACTTTGAAAACGTCTAAAGTTCTTGACTTTGACCAAAAAGCAAAAAAATTTTGCATGACCCGGGAGTCGAACCAGAGACCCTCCGCCTCAAACGCAGGCTGGTTAGCCACTACACCACTCGACAGGTGGACACCACTCTTTGGGAGGGGCTCATAAGGGAGGGCGAGGCAAGTGCTGCAAAACTTAAAATGCCCATAACTTTTTTGTATTAAGCGTTTTGCAAATTTTGATTGCAGTTTCGGAATCTCCGTCGCCGACTCTATCGGACCCATATTTTTGCTAAGCGGTTTGCTGGATTTTTTATTTGCACTTCCCTAGTTAGAGCAGAACCATTTAACCACCCTGCACCAACCTCCGAATTTGATGGGAGAGTGGGTAGCTGTCTCCTTGTGGCAGCTGGCCTCGACGTATTGTAGTCAGCCGCTGGTGTAATGCGCAGACGTCCCGCAGCTGATCGGCTTCGCGAAGTAGCTGAAAATTACGTGTATTGGGCGTCTTAAAGGAAATGCCACTACTAGTGGTCCGGAGAAAACTTGGATTGAGATAGTTGGCTTAGCTTTAGCTTTTTTAGCTTTATGATTCCGTGTTTGGCAAAAGCTCCATATTTGCGCGCGAAAATGTCAATTAAAAAT